GAAAAAGAAAAGAAAGAAATCAGTGAGAAAACTAAAAGTGCAAGAAAAGAAAAAAAAATAGAAAAGAAAGAAAAAAGATACAAAGAAGTAGCTTCCAATCTTCTTTATTGGAGTTAAAAGTACAGTTATAAATTTGCCTCTTACTCTTACTCTGTGGGTGCAACACAACTCTCTTCTTTCTATAATCTACCCTGTCTAATTATCAAAACCATAAATCATAAGTTCATTATTTTCTGTTTTATGCAAAAAGTCCACAAGGGGTTTCCAGTCAGCAATAAACGTAAATATTGTCTTTTCTCCAATCAAAGAAGACAATTTAGCCATCTCAGCAAATTCCATCATCTTCACCAACCATTCTTTCATTGTGGGTAGTGCTGAATCTTTCCATCTTTGTGCATACAATAATCTTGCTGTAGTTATCATGTACAGAAACAAAGTTCCATGACTTTTTCCAACTGTTTGTCCATCAGTCCCAAAAGAAAAATCTCTGGTCCCAATTGTATATTAATCTTTAAAATCTTCTGAATCAGTGTGTGTATTTGAATCCAAAATTTTCTAGCTTTTTTACATGTCCACCAAACATGATAAAATGCCCCTTCTTGTTCACATTTCCAACAAAAATTTGAAGTGCCTTTATACATTCTAGACAATTTCTTTGGTGGCATATACCAACAGTACATCATTTTATAAAAATTCTCTTTAACATTATAACATAGTGTTGTCCCAGAAAGCTTGGGTCCTGTACCTGGTGTGCAAGCCCAATAAATCACATCAGATAGGTGGAAAGGAATAAAACTTTTATTTGCAAATAAAAGGTTGCCCAGTAGTAAATTCCAAATGGGCATACCTCTGCTTGGAGTGAACCTTCTTTTATACAATTTTGAACAGCGTACATAACTATAAACCAATCAAAAACCATACATTTAGTTCAACTGAGGGCTAACCAATCAGGAAGAAGTAACAGGGTTCATCTGAGGGTTAAGAGATACACTGAAGTTTTATTTTATCAAACATTCCTGAGTAACTTGGTACCAGGGTCCCATCCATCACCTTAACAAACTGGCAT